GGCTGTCATAGGCACAAAGGCACATACACTGAAGAACTACGCTCAACAACCTTACTTACAAAACTCACCAGAAGATAAGTGTGTACTTGCAGATAGTAATCATGCTGACTTCACGATGACATAATTTGTACTTGAATTCCAATTAAGAGAAAATAACAACAAAACATGGTAAATAACTAAAAGTGAAAGATCCCAATAAGTACATAACTAAAAACCAACAATATAGGAATAAAAGAAAAGGATAAAGAAAAAAAAAGAAGAATCGTAATATGCCTGAATCTGGTCTGGTTACAAGTGATCACACAAAACGTCACACTACCTTTGACGGGACTTGTGATTGGTGGAGTCCTTCGTGATGAGCGTCGGGTGGACCAATCATCGGGGATGAATGGTTCAAGCTTGTCACGTGAAGGCGAAGTGATCAAAAGACCCTCCTCTGAGACCACAACACAGAAAACGGTCAACTAACACGAGGCAAGAATAACAGAACTTCTCTGGGGGGGATCCATGAGGTCAAAATTCATGGGAAATGCATTTTTGTGATGATTTGGATAAATAAATAAATGGGGATAAATCAGAAATCAAAGAAATAATAATGCTAATAATGATGAAAAAAAAAAAAAAAAAAAATCTGCAGTGCTGTGCTGTACAGAGCTATCTACAGTTGGTGAAAAGAAAACACTGATCTACAAGTGACATTTGGTTTGAATACGTCCCTTAGCATTTCCATAGATTTTTGCCCACATTCTGCTCGTGAAGATAAACCTTTGAGACGTGTCATGCACACCATGCTACCACTACGCGACTAGCCCAGTTCCAAGGACACACCTAGCACTGTATTTACACGTTTTTTGCTTCATCTACATATCTCTGCTTCCATTATTATTGTATTTAATTCAAGACATTCTCTTAGAGGTACAAACAATAGCGGTAAAAAATATATATTTAAAAAAAGTAGATGTAAGTGTTTAACAATGACCATCAAGAACACAGAAGAAATTTCCAAGAAAACCATAAAATCATAACATCTGTCACCATATGGAAACACTTTAGGTGAAAGAGTAGACACTTTTAAACAATCTATAAAAAAAAAAGAGTAAAAAAAAAAAAAAAAAAAGAAAGGAAGGAAGATTTATCCTAACATATCAACAGAGACACCATTCCCGATGTGGCTCTTTCACACCCCACAAGTCACCCCACCTGCTGAACCTGTAGTGCGCTCATAATGGTGGCGAGGGGTGGACTCTTTTGAAGTCTTTCCATCGGTCTTGTCAGCAGTCTTCTGGCTCTGTTGGAGAAAAGGGGAAGAGAGTTTCAGCATGAGCTTTATTTTGGTGTGCTGTGTGTAAGCTAGGACCTTTGTTACTTTGAATGCGGTGCTGGATCATTCTGTGAGTGTGTTTGTTTGCGCATATAGACATGTATAAGTAAGTGTGTGTGTAAACTAGGTAGGTATATATCTAAAAAAATGAGAGTAGGAGAGTAAATAAAAAATATGATGGTATGTTTCTGTCCATATATATATGTGCGTGTGTGTGTGTGTGTGTGTGTGTGTGTGTGTGTGTGTGTGTGTGTGTGTGTGTGTGTGTGTGTGTGTGTGTGTGTGTGTGTGTGTGTGTGTGTGTATGTGTTAATAAATAAAATATATATATATCTATATATATGCATATACACACACACACAACACACACACACACACACACACACACACACACACACACACACATACATACATACATACATACATACATACATACATACATACATACATACATACATACATACATACATACATACATACATACATATATATATATATATATATATATATATATATATATATATATATATATATATATATATATATATATGTGTTATGTCATACTTAAATTCTAAATGAAACTTTTATTCATGGCTAAGCTAAATAGCATTTTACATAAATAGGTTTGTTTTGACTTTGTAACTCCTTAATGTACAGGGAATGAAATTATAAGTATTTGACAGATTGAGAAAGAGGATTGCTGTGGGCTGGGGGCTGTGGCAAAATGCCTTTAGTATATGAGACTGATTTGATTGTATGCTTTTATACTTTTTATTTTTTAATCTATCTTCTGTCTTTCTTAAAACTCTTTTTTAACCTTATCCTATATCAATCTTTAGCTCAATGTAGGTATTTCATCTTACTATGAAAAACATGCTCTTATATATTTTAAAAAATTAATCTGTTCTTTAGCCCATCTTATAAAGGGGATCCACAAAGGTCTTTGAAGTATGTGAAGAAAATGAATATTCTCTCTGACCAGCTGGATAGTCTTATTCAAAGGAGCACATGAATTGCGGCCTGAAGAATAGCTGTGGAACAAGTAACAAAACAGCAGGATTTCAGTATAAAACATGGTACAATATGTAAACGCAGACCATAACTCCAAGCACATGAAAGGATGTTTTCCACAAAGAATACTATGCATGAATGTAGGTACATATGAACAGGACATATAACAACTATTGCACACTTGAATATGCATACAAAGATCAATCCTCTGCAATGGCTCAGTGCAAGGTTACAGTGCTATTTTCTATACAGACAAACTATCTCACCATATCAACATACCTGTGCTGTCTTTACTTCTAACCTGATAGGGAAAATATGCTGAAATTCAACACCAATATATGTCCTATGGTGTAATATGACCTTCCTAATGGCAACTGTATGGCACTGCAAAATTTCAGTGTTTCTGATCTATGTGTCTATTCTGTAAGCTGTTTCTTTGGCTTTAGTATCAGATTGCACGCTTTCCTATAAAACTCACAAAGAAAGCCTAAATTGCTTGGCTCGTGCTGATCCTCATTTGGCTAAAGCATTCTTACTCATTTTGAAGCTGACATTTCTAAAGCTAGTAGACTATACTATAGTCCTTCATGACCTAATTACATAATGATGTAACATGTCAATTAGTAAAATTGTGTTAGCCTTAGATCTCTTATACTGAGTGATTTACAAAAACTCTGTATTTGCAAATATATTTTGTCTGTTACTTATACTTATAGTGTGGCATGAGTGTTAAGAATGAAATTAAATAATCTGTTGAGTTATGCATGTAATCACTTTGTTACATTTTTTCATATTTTCACAATATGTAAGATTAACTGGTAAGAAGATCATAAAAGCCATCAACAGTAATTGGGAACACTTACATCTAAAAACTAGGACACTTATCTCTCTTTGACTTCATGCTGATCCTATAAGGGACATAGGAAAAAGAGAGTGAGAGTGAGAGTGAGAGTGAGAGTGAGAGTGAGAGTGAGTGAGTGAGTGAGTGAGTGTGAGTGAGTGAGTGAGTGAGTTGAGTGAGTGAGAGTGAGAGAGAGAGAGAGAGAGAGAGAGAGAGAGAGAGAGAGAGAGAGAGAGAGAGAGAGAGAGAGAGAGAGAGAGAGAGAGAGAGTATAGCATACTGCATAACATAATGTAGCATGAAAGCTCATACACCACTTGAGTGCTCCCTCGTGGGGCAAGCTAACTTGAATAACATCCCTCCCTCTCTGTTGTCTTTCTTTTTCTCTTACTCTCTTGGCCCTTACGTGTATGATCTGGTTCGTAATGCTTTATAAGGACCATGGACATCCAACACAGCACAAAAGGAGTCCTAACTACAGCACGGATGCCTTGCATTGCCATGGGACGAACATCGCCGTGAGATGAACATCTCCGCAGGCCAGAGGATCAGGACTCTTTAGTGCAGGTATTAAACTGCCCCAGGATGAAGTGGATGGGCACTGCCTGCCAGGACATCTGTAGATCCAGTGAAGAACCGGGAACTTATCAGAGCAGGCCCCAGGATGCTATGGAAACTGCCTGCCTGGACGTCTGTAAATTGGTCAAACTCCAGGAGCTCTCCAGCACAGGAATAAGCCGCCCTCCGATAAAAGGACACCCGTAAACCTAGACGCAGGTTACGAGGCCATCTGTACAAGCCGCAGCCAAGAAGGACCTGGAGGAATTGGCGAGGACATGTGGATGAGTATACTGCTGAGTACTATCTGGATGACGATACAAGGAAGATCAGATAACCCAAAGTCAAGGAGGACCTAGGTGACACCTTCAAGGCCGTGTGGACGTCGAGGAGAGAAATTCACCAAGAACCAAGAAGGAGAGGCCAAAGAGGAAGCTACATGAGGATGACCAAGAACAAGAACGCAACAAAATGACCAGCAGATCGGGTCTAAGGACAGGTCACCGGTGAGGCAATTCAGATGACGCATCAAGGACGAGACATGAGTAGGTGGCCGAGCGACATAGCATACTGCATAACATAATGTAGCATGAAAGTTCATACAACATGTAAGTGCCCCCTTGTGGGACAAGCTAACATGTGGTGTGTAATTATAGCAGTCCACGTGGCGCTACCGCTTGCGCCCATCCATCAGGCCGATAAGAGGTCATCCGACCTTGACCCAAGCCTCACTTGTATTCACTTGCTCACTACACTCCCTCTGTGAGGCTGCCCACGCAGGGTGGGTCTCGCTCACTTATTCGCTCACACTGCCTGCCTGCTGACCAGGTGATCATCGCTCCACGAGGCTGCGCCCCTAGGGTCCGCTGGCCCCGGCACTACCAGACATCATCATATCATGTCTATTTTCATTTGTGTGTACTTAATAAATGTGAAGCTACATCAGTGTATCACTACTGTCCACCAGTATTATCCATATAGGAGGTCCACACCTCTTACAGAGAGAGAGAGAGAGAGAGAGAGAGAGAGAGAGAGAGAGAGAGAGAGAGAGAGAGAGAGAGAGAGAGAGAGAGAGAGAGAGAGAGAGAGAGAGAGAGAGAGGAGAGAGAGAGAGAGAGAGAGGAGAGAGAGGAGAGAGAGGGAGAGAGAAGAGAGAGAGAAGAGAGAGAGAGAGAGAGAGAGAGAGAGAGAGAGAGAGAGAGAGAGAGAGAGAGAGAGAGAGAGAGAGAGAGAGAGAGAGAGAGAGAGGAGGGGGGGGGGGGAAACGGTAAAAAGGCAAGCACGGTAGCCCATCACACTCACATGCACGGCGGCAGGCTTGGGCTTTGGAGGCGCTGTGCTGGGGCGCTCTCGGGAAGAGGTACTCACGTGTTTGATTGGGGAGGACCTGCGCGAGTTCTCTATCTCCTTCTCTGCCTTACTGATCGGCCGGCTGATGGAGAAAAAAAGTGAAAGAGCGGAATTTAGCAAAACTTTCCTTTGACAGGGTAATGAATCCACTTAACTATGACAGGTATTTGAAGTCATTCTTGAATAGCTTTGGATCTGAATCACCTTTAATAGACTGCTGCCCAAAAATATGATAGCTTGAGGACGGAACTTACAATATGAAGAGGCATTTTGTAGGTTGTGATAAGTGTCTGATAACTTGAAGTGTGTTTAGTGTCATTACCTTATTTATCAGGCTGGAGTTCACAATGCATCATACAAAAAGATGGACATTTCTGACATCAAAACACAGTGAGATTTCTGTTACAAAAGACTGTATACTTGGCCTCAAAGAATAAGAAACATGCCAGAAAGAAATTACTTCTGACTGCTGATATTCTCTGTTTTCCACTTCTCTTCCTAGCACTGGTTCTACAACACTCAAGAAGTAATCTAAACTGAAAAATCTCCAAGGATCAAATGCCTAGAGTTAACACAAAACAAGAAGTAAAATAGTCAAAATGGCTAAAAGTGCCAATCTTAGCAAAGTTCTGGCTAAAATATACTGTAAAAAGATACTGAAAACTCTATAATCATCAAGCTCAAAGAAGAAACAAAAAAGTAATGAACCAGAAAAGGGTACTCACCTGGGTGTAGCCGATGCTAGAGAGAGAGCCTGGAGGGAGGACCTACGAGATACCTGTTCCCATAATTCCGCTTGCTTACTGTATATCTCCGCTAACCTCTCAGAAGCGGTTTCCACTCCCCAACCACGGTGCTGTGGGCAGATAAGTGAAATTAGGATTCACTGCATTAACTTTTGATTTTTTTTATTAACGTTATCTGCCTTTCTTTGCCTCTAATTTTGTGATGTTTAGAGTTCATTTTTTTCTATATAAGATGAGTGATGAACTGAAAGTGGAAAAGAGTGAATTGTTGCATTTGGAAATCATTTTTAAATATATGTTTCTATTCTGGGTAAATCTTTGGAATTTAATGCATGAAATCATGAAAATATGAATACATTTGTATGTGTTAAAACCTAATGTATACCTTCAAGCAGGAATATGTAAATATGAGTACACACATGTCCTTTAATTATATACTTTATCCCCTTTAAATGCTGATATGTATATTATCATTATGCAAATGCAAACTCTTTCATACATGTCAATAAACATGTATACCCATATATTTAGTGCAAATTTCAGCAATAAAAATATATGAAGAAAAGCATCATGTGTGCTTTGATTAATCTGCATTCCAACATCAATAATAATATAATTACTGTATATTAGTGTTATCTGTTGCATAATAATCAGGGGTACTATTTAAATCCATCTTTGAAATGCAGCTAAACATATTCTCCCACAATAACCAGCACTTCTAAGGTTTTGTCTTTTTACATATTTGCATGTCTAGAATATATTAGAATACATCACTGATGTGTCAATATACAGCTAAGATTACATTTAATAATTCTATATATATACTAAAATATGACTCATGATGTTTTACGTTTTGATCATTATATTTGCAAGACACACATATGGAGTTATAGAACAGCTTATGAACATCATTTAACAGATAGTGTTATCATTAATGTAGATCAAAATAATTAGGGCAATCTTTACAAAGGATATGGCAGTAATAGTACATAAAACACAGAACTCACTAATCTCTCTGTCAAATAATATGGAGAACCTTCTTTAAAATTTAAGACTAAAAATATATATAGATTCTGATACATATTCAATAGATCAGCTACTAATAATCAAATTTCTAACCGAAGCCAGACATATGCAGAACAAAACTGAAAAGGAATAAGCTATGAAAAAGAAGCTGACATGCAGTGAGTTAACTCTCATAGGGTCCTAAAAGGTCTGCCATGCCAATAACTAAATATAACAACATCAGATATGCATTGTCAAACCTTGATGAGACAATAGAATCTATTGGAAAAATGGTACAAACTCATTAAGAATGATGCTTAGTTGAAAAGCCAACAGAACAAAATAACACAATAAAGTATAAGCAACTTTTATACATTCTAATGAAAATATAGAAAAAATTAATGTTGGTAACTAAAAAATGCCTTGTCCAGGGGGGATACGCAATGGATTCGCAAGCCCTTCCCTCTGATGCTCGCAGTGAGACTGTTTTAAAAGTTGATGCACAATTTCATCTGGCTATGAAGGGAACCTACTTGAGTACTGACAAGGAGTCATTTATACTTCTAACTTTCACATCAGCTTTGACAATGCAATCGTGCACTGGTGGTCCTTTAGACTGTTCTATCCAGTACTTGTGGCTGAATGATAGTCGCACGTATTTTACGTTTCAAGGTTCCATTATAGACTAAATAGGAGTAAAAACTATAACTGTAACAAGCAAACCAGAGCAAACCTCAAGAGAATCAGTCAATATAGTTTTTTTCTTTTTGAAGCCCTCTCCAAAAAATGGAAATAAAAGGAAACAAAGTGAAAAAGAAAGAATAGAAAAGAAGAATAGTGGCTTTACTTCATGTTAATTGATGCATAATGAATAAAAAAAGATAAATTAGGATTATTCCTAATATTGCTTGAAAGATCTCAAATGAATCATTGACTGTGTGAGGAGGTTTGGTCCGTAAACATACATCAGTAAAAACACCAGTACCATTAGTTAATAAGAAAAAAACTATAAAAATAAAAATGCCAATATCACAAAAACATAAAAAAAAATAACAAATCATAAGCAAATAAAACCCGAATCTTAAACTAAAAAGGGGGGAGAAAAAATAAGAAAAAGAAAAAGAAAATTAAACATTAAAACCAAGGAAGAGAGACAACTCTTAAATAGAAAAAGGGGACCAGCCACAAGCCTTCAGGATCTCATCCACACACCTGGACTGTCCGCCACACGTCACCGATATCGTGTCTCGCCTGGGGAGAGAGGAGGGAGCGGCAAGGTTATGCTAGTGCCTAAGGTTGAGGCCAAGGCGGAGTGTAATCATCCCACTTTTCGACTAGTGGGATCTGGCATACCTAACAAACCCTTTGAAATAATGCTGTTCCTATTTTCTCTCTCTCTGTGAATGACATGCTTTTTCCACAGGGATGGAGGACTGGTATTCCCTTGATAGGTCTTTCATGAATGAAAAGCCTGTGTTAGTATTCATCTATCTACACAGTTTTACAAAAGCCTTGTGTAGATCACTGCAGATATGCCTCTGAATTAACCTGTAAGAGCTTCTGTCACGCATTTAGCATTGAAATTGACTGATAAAGTAAGATAAATCACAAAACCCTCATCTTGAAAGCACTTGAAGGCAGCTCACTCACATAATTAACCTTTTAACTTGTTTTTTTTTTTTTTTTTTTTTTTTTTTTTTTTTTTTGACGGACACTTGAAATTTTATTAGGCTGATTGAGTTTACTCTCTTCTGGAGAACAAAAAAAGAAAGAAAAAAAAGGACAATGTTAATTACCAACAGTAAACTTTTGTATCTATCTTTATTCGTCCTCACCTGAACTCCTCCCTTCTGAAGTTCTCTCTCATCTCTATAAAACAAGTGATCTGAACACCATTACACACACATACAAAAGAAATAAATAACAATGATTAACAGCAATATGGAACAACACTTTTAGAAGACAAATCTTAAAGGTGAGTAAGTGCATTTCAAAGTGTGTATAACTGTGTGCATGTTAATAATACCTGTGCTCATTCAACATACAGGTGTGTAAAGATATGTGAATAATTATACCTCAGATCATTTCACACAGGCACACACTTGGTGCTATGGTACTTTACATTCATCATTCAAGAAACCACCAGCACACATGAGTAAAATCTGAGAACCAAATCTGAATAAAATGTGATTTCATGACAAATGGAAACAGCTGTCAAATATTCAATCCCTATGATCATCAACAATTGTAAATGAGAGAATATAAGTGTATATATGTATCTACTCCTTAGTAATTGATGGGAAAAAATTACTGGCCTTGCGCATCTTATCTATAAAGTTTTTAAGAACATTCATGAAAATTTAAAAGGAAAAGGGAAAGAAGATAGGGAAAAGATTAACAAGTAAACTTTAAGGAATCAAGGCAATCAAGGAAGAACAACTGGCTTAATTATCACTACAGGATTGATCATGAACCATGAGAAGGGGATTTTCTGAAGGGGAGAGTGGAATCAATCACATGGCATTAATCATATAACATATGAATGGGAGGGGAGGGGGGAATACAGTCTAATTCACCTGGCATTGCCTTACATTATATCAAACACAAATGCAGATAATGAAAAGTATATATATATTACAGTATCAACTGCATATATTGTATGTATTGAGGTCCAAGATCCTTCATTACACTCTCGAGTAATGCACAAGAACACACACACACAACATACATTTTCAAATGTTTTATAAACCATCTGGGTTTTATATGTTAATAGCATTTAAAAATGACAATTTACTAAAAATCTTATCTTTAAAAGAATCACTCTGTGTGTTAATTTCATGACTAACCCAGCAATGAATAATATACCATGCAATACCAGTCTCATCTCATAATGTAACTAATTATTGCTTAAACAAGAAAAAAATCAAAATAAAGCTTTATAATCATAATACTTGATAACACTATTATAAGAAACAATTACACACATTCTTCAAGAAATTAAGCCTGACCTAAATTATGTATTCTCTTTGAATATAAAAAATAATTTTGTATACAAAAGGCATGTTTAATAACCACCCTTAACTTTCAATATGTTCCTCTAATGTGCTTTACCTAATTTCCTTGATGCAAAACTGCAATATAGGAATAATAAAGATAAAGAACCAATATAAGAAGTAAATATAACATGTATGCACCTTATATGCACACAAAAACACACAGACAAATCGATTAGAGAAAACAGTGTCTTCTTTTAAAGTTTCACAAGATCACCCACTCGTATCAGATAACAAACCAGAATATACCTAACTTATGAATGGAACTGACTATCATTTGTGTTTTAATTTGAACATCCAAATACACTGCTGACATTTACAACAATATGTGTATGGTATGTCTAACAAGGATGTCAAATAAATTCAAAGGCTTAGTTATTCAGTGATGCCAAGGAAGCTGAAACTAAAACTGATTTGGCAGTAATGCATGGCTGTGCACACATATAAGCATATTCATGTAGCTTTCAACATGCTGTGTACAGTTCCTCCCAGTAAAGGCAGTCAAGGGCCTTGAAGTATGTCACTGCTGCAGCACTTAAGCTGTAGGGGTTTCCTTGTGACTCAGCTCAGAGCAACTTAACACTGCAGAAATCTGCACAGCAGTAATAAACAAATGAAGAATCAGATATGCCTTCTCTGCATGAAAGTAAAGAAAAGCAAGCAAAGTGGCATAATCACTCTTCCATTCTCCTTGAAACTATTATATATCTCTAATTAAGATATTTTTTTCCTAATCCCTCAAAACAAAGAAAAAAAGAAACTTGGAAACAAAGTACACAAAGTTTGCTGAAACATTAATGTTGTTTTATCCTTCTCAAAGGTGGCTGTCACAAGAGAAATGTCAAAAGATATATCATCTTAACTTCTGGGACATTTTCTGGAGGAGAGGAATAAACCACAACATACCCGCAGCCTACTGCCAACTTTGGGAACTTCAGATGTCTGAGGAAATGGCTGAACGTGTGGGCTCTGTCTGCCCCTCAGTAATGAATCATTATTTGCTGGATTCCATGGTGGGGAATCCTAAGCCTCTGCCATGACAGGCTGTGCTGCCAACAGAGAAATACTATCAGAGTTGCATAGCCTTCGCACAAGACAAAAAAAGGGGGCACCATTCTGGGGACACTATCTATTACTGTTTGTCACTAATCTGACTGTCTGCTAAGAATTTAATATTACAAAACAGCAGCATCTTTACCCAAGTTTTTTTTTAATCCCACTTGGCTGTATGTCCAAACATCACAATAAAGACCACAGAAAAAAAACTAATAAAAGTAACTTTGACAAAAAGGCAAAGCACTTTCAGGATCACTCAGGGAGAGCAACAAAATCTGTCAATATAATGATGGAAACCACCAATATGCTGCAAAACAAAACAGCTAAATGATCAAGTAATGCATAAAAACTGCCACCTCACAAGTTTAAAATCAATGAAACCACCTCATGTCAGGCCATGTGAAAAGGCACCGAGAGACTGGCAGTAGCACTGCCTGTATGTGGTCTGTCTTCAGTGCAACCCTTTTATTCACTGCAGATGCAATAACTCTTAGAAATCATAGGGATAATCCTTCAGTAACCAGGAGATGATTATTTAAAAGTTCACAGTTCAAAAAACTCAATAAAGATGCAGCAACATCAAAGCAACATATCTTTGACCCTTCTAGCTTGGAGGCAAGCAAGATACAAATGAAAAGTTAACAAAAACTCAGTAAATATAAACTATGGGATCAGCAAAGTGAAATAAAATTCCTCTAATCAAAGGAGCAACTAAATCCAATGGATGGCCTAATCTTTTTAAACTCTTATCAATAAGATTGTTATCCTGGTACCTTGTCTAACAAACTTTGGGCTAAATCCATTAAACCTCTGTTTATTTTCAACATGTGACCAGACTACCTTCAGTTTTAACTGATGGTAAAGAAAAATTATGCTCATTTTTGGGAGGAGTATGCCAAAAGTCCATTACACAACCTGACTTAAGGCTGCCACTATAAAGAATTGGCAATGTATCTCACACCCTCTCACGAGTATCTGCAAAAATTTAAGAGTTTCAAGTTAAGTTCTTTCAGCTATCACTGTTGTTCTTTCAATATATTCTCATTCATTACCCCCTCCCCTTTCCCCATCTCTGTTCAGCAAACAAATGAAAAATTTGCCTTACAAAGACTGAAGGATAATTGTTTTTTAGCAATATAGAACCAGCATCTGGAAATAATAGAGTATAGTAATCTTCAAGTTTCTTTCCATCCATGTGCTGAAATTTTCTTTCATATATTTTTGGGCCAGTAATGTAATGAAATAAAAGCCTTTTCTTTGATAACCCATCAACAAAAGACTGTATATTCATTGAACGTTTACAAACATTTAACCATATAAAACGATTAAATCTAAAATAAAGGAAAAAAAAAAAGGAAAAAAGTAAAAAAATAAACTATAAATCTTACTAAACTGAAGTGAAATCTTATTCTCTATTTCCATTCTAATCTCCGAATTTTGAAAGCCAATACCCCCCTACCCCCTTAAGAATAGAGCAACAAAATATTAAACAAATATTTCAAAAGGTCAAAAAGAGAATAGTGATTTAAAAAAAAAACATGCAAAAAATACATATATATCGAAGTCCTATTCAATATCAGACCTTTAAATGAAATTAACACAAACTCTAATTATTTATTGACATAATTATTCTGTCATATCTTTACATAGTTTTTGATAAACAGCCTGTCATATGGTTAATAATACCATCTTCTTTGGTTAAACATGACTAAGAATCTCTCACTAGGTTTTCAAGTTAATATATTCTTAGCTATTAACCTGTATCTAATTTGTGCCCATATCTATAATAACAATTATGATCATAGCTTTTTATAAGAATAAAAAATGTATTCTTCACAATCAAAATAATAGCAATAACAAAAATAATAAAAATAATAGTATTCTATCAAAAACTGACAGGTTAATAATAATTAGTTAACAACAATAATAATAATGACAATAACACCAACACCAACACCAACACCAAACACAACACAATGATGATGATGATGATGATGATGATTGATGATTGATGATTGATGATGATGATGATGATTGATGATGATGATTGATGATGATTGATGATTGATGATTGATGATTGATGATTGATGATTGATGATTGATGATGATGATGATGATGATGATGATGATGATGATGATGATGATGATGATGATGATGATGATGATGATGATGATGATGATGATTGATGATGATTGATGATGATTGATGATGATTGATGATGATTGATGATGATGATGATGAATGATTGATGATGATGATGATTGATGATGATTTGATGATGATGATTGATGATGATGATGATGATGATTGATGATGATTGATGATGATGATGATTGATGATGATGATTGATGATGATGATTGATGATGATGATGATGATGATGATTGATGATGATTGATTGATGATGATGATTGATGATGATGATTGATGATGAATGATGATGGATGATGATTGATGATTGATGATGATGATGATGATGATGATGATGATGATGATTGATGATGATGATGATGATGATGGATGATGATGATGATGATGATGATGATGATGATGATCATGATGATGATGATGATGATCATTATGATGATGATGATGATCATTATGATGATGAATGATGATGATGATAATCATTATGATTGATGATGATAATCATTATGATGATGATGATAATCATTATGATGATGATGATTTATGATGATGATGATAATCATTATGATGATGATCATTATGATGATGATAATTGATTATGATGATGATGATGATCATTATGATGATGATGATGATGCATTATGATGATGATATCATTATGATGATGATTATGGATGATGATGAGATCATTATGATGAGGATGATCATTATGATGCATTATGATGATGATTCATTATGATGATGATGATGATTATGATGATGATGATATGATATTATGATTGATGATGATCATTATGATGATGATGATGATTATGATGAGATGATGATATGATATGATGATATCATGATGATGATGATCATTAATGATGATTATGATTGATGATCATTATGATGATGATATGAATGATGATGATGATGATATTATGATGATGATGATGATGATTCATTATGATGAATATTATGATATGATGATCATTATGATGATGATAATTTGATGATGAGATGATGATGGATGATGATAGATTATGATGCGATGATCATTATGACGATGATCATTACGATGATGATGATTATTAAGTGATGATGATGATTATGATAAAGAGGAGGAGGATTATGATGATGACGATGATCATTATGATGATGATGATTATTAAGTGATATGACTTATCGATGATGATTATGATGATCACTAATGATGATGATTATACATGATAGATTATTATGATGATTACAATGATGATGTGATGATCATGATTAAAAACAATAATAATATTCTTAAGAATAACATAATGATAATGATATTAAAAAGAACAAGAACAATAATAATAATAATAATAATAATAATAATAATAATAATAATAATAAAAATAAGCTTCACTTTTGACATCATAGTAGGAGTAAACTTAATGTATTCCATTTCATTAAGGAACCCCATATTACATCCTCATATATCTAAGACAAATTAATTTGATAATTTACAGAACTCTTCATCCAAAATTCACCTTGTAACTCTAATATACAATATTGCCTAAATTCTCCTTTCAAAATTACACTGCCATACACATACTCCCACACATATAAGCTGCAAAATAATAATATAGTCCCTTTTTGGGTCTTTTTAATCAGTACAGAAAAAAAATGATAATGAAGTAAAAGAATCACAATGTTGTGACTTTCTGATAGTCAACGTACCCTATACTGGCCAGCTTGACGGCGCAGCTCAATGACTTCCTTGTACCAGTTGTTTGCTGAGTCGCCACCTGCTGCAGTCGATGGCTCATCGCCCTTCACCTTATGGAACTTGCCATCCACATATTGGTACTGCGAGAATGGACGGAACTTCTTGCGGTATTCAGACTTATAGACTCTGCAAGGAGGAGGTAACTGTAAGAACTTCATCAGATATGATTATTAAATAAGATCGGATTATAGATCCAAGATTAATTACTTTTCATGCTGTATTTTTTTAAGAAGCTTGAAGTTAATGACAGATAAAATTTCTTGCCATTCAATTTTAACTTGCTTGTAGCTAAAACAACTTTTAATAATTAACACTATTATTCATAGTAAGAAAACTATGGTGTTTCTGTTTTTCAAATTACAAAATGTACTAGCATTTTCATGGACCATTTTACAAATATAATAAAAATACAATCATTAGCCTTAATTTCAAAAGAGTGATTCCTAATCATAGTCATGCTAAAATACCAGATTTCTCAACTCACAGAGGAAAATAACAAGAACCAAATATACCAATATAAGAAACAATAAAATATTACAAGACTCAATCTCATGTACACCTCTCATAAAATCTATTCATAATTGGATATTCAAAACTCAAACGAACCATACGAGACCGAGGAACATTTCACTAACGTCCATATAAATTATCATATATTTTAAATAACATATATCAACTTATACATAATATATATATAAATGTTTTTCACCTTTTGCAATAGCAAGAGAATAATTTCTTGAAACAAAAATAAGGGATTGTAAACAGATAAAATACTTGTTCCTTTTATTTCACTTACCACTCCTTTCAACATAAAATATATATGCACATCAAGATTTACACCTTTGAAGGACAAAGAAAAATTCCTATAAATAACCCAAAGATTAGAGTACAGTATTTATTGAAAGTGATCAATGTAAGTATACAATGGTAGCTAAAGTTCTCAAACATTCACAGTTCAATAAATATATGTCGTATCCATGGTAATAGCCACAATAACTTGGCCTGATGGAACAGTATAAAGTAATTATGATTTTCAGTCATGCATACAACCTCACACATACACAATCAGGCTATACATATAAATAAAAAGGCAAGTGTGCAAGAATACCCACACGCACGCACACCTAAAATAACATACACCTCTTACAACTAGCCAAATTATATCTTACCTCTTGGAAAATTTATCATCCGATGAAGCCAACATATTTTCCCCGCCAATGATTCGATCAGCCTCCAGTCCTGCAATGTCCAATGATAAACCTTTAAAACATCATTAGCCAGTCAAAAGTCTTATTCTACCTTACCAACAGAGGAACAAGGAATACACTCAAGGAATTTAACTGTTAAATGTGTTGACATGTACAGGTCTTGGGGATTTTAATGCGGTAAAATGCCTTGCAAAATTTTGTTAAATCATGTCTGGATATCAACACAATGAAATGGACTACAGGGAGAATTTATTTATTCATATTTAAATTCACTTTAAGTGAAAGAAAGATGTCACAGAAAACTTTTGTGTTCAAAACAATAATTTAAATTTGAAATGTGTAAATTTCAATAACGCTAACATGGACTACTAAGTGGACATCGTGCATATAGGAAGAATTATCTTATTGTTAATGTCATGCCAATTGTTTAAAAAAATCATAAAAAAATCAAGGTTAGTTCTTCAGTGTGACTAGATGTTAATTTTTCATCACTCAGATCCAAAGATGTGTTTTAAGAGTTATTGTATCTACTATCTATCCCTACATCTCATTAGTATGAAAATAGATAGGTGATAGATAGGGGAGTTAGTTATCATTCTCACACTAGACGAAAACATGATCTACAATGGATTTGACTATCAACATGCGGGAGTGTTCTGGTCTGAAAAACAGGGTGGAAGATCAGCCTTGGAGAGGTCATGTGCCTTTGCAAATATTCCTTGTTAATGTTGAAACTTCTTTTCCCCCTTTAAACATTGTACTGCATGTATAGTCACTTTGAAACATGACAGACACTACTCTGATGTATTTGACACATCAATTGCTAAATGATATTGTATGCTACATCTTATAATTTGTCTGATTATTACTATCTCAATATTTTTCGAATGACTAGTTTATTCTTACATGACTTCTTTAGCTGACGTCTAAGGTATTGGCACCAGAACAGAGTGAGAAATCTTATATATACAGTATTAGTAGTAGATGACAGGACTCATTAGGAAAAGTCTCTCTAATCACCCTAGTGTGTGTTGTCATGCACTACTATATGTACAGTTGTACATGTGCTTCACAGGCCACCACCAGAGCATTTCAGCTTCTTGATGTGTTAAGTGCATTGCATGTTTATCTTACTTGTTCTTGGTTGGGGATGACTGGTGGATGAAGCACCTCTCTAACCACTATCATAATAAATTCATTGTGTCTCAACACTCAGTCCAGGGCGGTCAGGAGATGAATAACCCTCAATAACAACAGAAATTCATAGACTCGCTCTTATCCAGCCTTAGAGAAATCACCTAATCGGTAAACCTCTGGAGATATCTTAACATGAGACGTAAAAATCATACTTGAACTTGGAGAGGGGTGATATATAAAAAAAAAGTTATTTGAATAGCCTTAATTTTTGGCAATAAGATTGTCTGATCTTTTTTTTCTTATTCTTTCAGGAATGTGAATCACAAGGGCTGGATATTGGACTCTATGTGTTTGATCAAAATCTATTTTTCAAATTATCTAATTCACAATATAAGATTTACTTCTAAAATTCTATTTCTCCAATACAATCCTAAAATTCTATTCCTTCATCTCTGTTCTAGATTTCTATGTCTGTATCTGATCTCTATATTTTTATTTCCATTTTATACTTCCATGGCTCTAGCTCTTCCACAGTTTTTTTATGTTACTTAATTCATATCAGTGAAATGTATGGCCACCACATTATCATTATAACATTAAATGGTTTTAAAAGATTAAATCTAAATATGCAATACTAGCTGTTCACCCCATAATAATTAATTCCTGCTGTATACAATTACACATCCAGTACATATTCTCCTCTTATCAAAATAACTGTTTACTGGTTGTTCAATTTTATATTAACATCAAATTGATATATCATACTGAGCTTCTTTTACCAAGCTGTTGTTGAAAGAGAGAGAGAGAGAGAGAGAGAGAGAGAGAGAGAGAGAGAGAGAGAGAGAGAGAGAGAGAGAGAGAGAGAGAGAGAGAGAGAGAGAGAGAGAGAGAGAGAGAGAGAGAGAGAGAGAGTGTGTGTGTGTGTGTGTGTGTGTGTGTGTGTGTGTGTGTGTGTGTGTGTGTGTGTGTGTGTGTGTGTGTGTGTGTGTGTGTGTGTGTTGTGTGTGTGTGTGTGGTGTGTTGTGTGTGTGTGGTGTGTGTGTTGTGTGTGTGTGTGTGTGTGTGTGTGTGTGTGTGTGTGTGTGTGTGTGTGTGTGTGTGTGTGTGTGTGTGTGTGTGTGTGTGTGTGTGTATGTGTGTGTGTGTGTGTTGTGTGTGTGTGTGTGTGTGTGTGTGTGTGTGTGTGTGTGTGTGTGTGTGTAGTGTGTGTGTGTGTGAGAGAGAGAAGAGGGGGGGGGAGAGGGAGAGAGGGAAAGAGGGGGAGAGAGAGAAGAGAGAGAGAGAAGAGAGAGAGAGAGAGAGAGAGAGAGAGAGAGAGAGAGAGAGAGAGAGAGAGAGAAGAGAGAGAGAGAGAGAGAGAGAGAGAGAGAGAGAGAGAGAGAGAGAGAGAGAGAGAGAGAGAGAGAGAGAGAGAGAGAGAGACAGAGAGAGAGAGAGAGAGAGAGAGAGAGAGAGGAGAGAGAGAGAGAGAGAGAGAGAGAGAGAGAGAGAGAGAGAGAGAGGAG